ACACTCAGTGATGTTACAAAAAAAAAAAAAAAAAAAAAAAGAGAAGAAGACCAGTTAGCAGTAAAAGCTAAACAAATAAATTATTAACACTAACAAAATAAGCAAAAATTAAAAAGGAAGAGGAAAGGTTACAGGAAAAAGGCAGTATTGTTGATGTTACCCGACAAAAAAAAAAAGGAACAGAACAGGACAGAACAACTCCTAAAAATTTAATTGACCGTAAATAAAGCTCTATATTCAGCTCATCTTTATAGATGCTACAAAAAAATAAAAAAAAATAAAAATTTGTCTCTAAAATTTCAACACACTTTTTTTTTTTTAATGTATCTGCTCTGATATTACGTTCAGTTCATTGTCAATGCCAATACCCTTAATCATCTTTTTCTTGAACACATCAAACTATTTTCTTACGCCATTTAATCACTATTTTTCTCCTTTTTGTTCGGTAAATAGGCAACTGAAAAAAAAAAAAAAAACCAAAAGGAACGCTGCTGACATAGGTACAATTAGGTGTGCTTAGCAAAATTACTTCGTCTAACATGTTAAAGTTAAACTGTCATATTTTGGTCAAGACAAAAAAAAAAAAAGAAACAAAACTGATGTTGTTCAAAGTTAACGACGTGAATAATGTCAAAATATTGTGGTGTTGTTGCTCGTCTGCTGTCTTCTGATTCACTTTTTCCTTGACGGTGTTCTGTTGACAATTAATAACAGGCATCATTTCTGTAGCATTTAGATATCAGATACAGAGTAAAAATCATATCTTGAAAAAAAAAAAAATCAGTCTTTTATTACCACCATATCAATCTTTTATCCTAAAATAGTGCAGCTCAAATGACTGTGACCAAAAATTTGCACAAATCAAATAAACTCAGTTTAATTGTTTGGCGAAAAAAAAATTGATGGGTAACAATGAACCTAAATAATTTGCTTAGAACAAGCAAAAACCAGAGAGACCAGCTACCTGTTTTTTCCTTCTTCTTCTTCCTCTTCTTCTTCTGCTTCTTAGCATTATTGCTGCTGCAACCATTGCTCGATGTGTTTATAAAGTGTTAAAAAAAACCAGCAACATGCAACTTTTATTAATATTAATATATTTTTTGCTTAACACTCAAAAACAATTTTTTGACGACAAAAAAATTAATTTTATAATGTAAAGATGTTTTTCTTTTTGTATAAAGTTTACAAATAGTTGAAGAAAACAAACGGTTACAGAAATGAAGAAACTGCTGTTGAAGTTAATGCATGTTTGACAGGGTTTTAATTTTGTTTTCACTTTTTTTTCTCTTTTGAAAACTTTTGGAAGGACGAAATTGACTGAAACTGAG